ATGGACGCATACGCCCATGGCAAGTGCACATCACTCACATCGCCATACTTCGGGATGTAGCACGGGATGGTGTCGCATCCCATCTCAAGCGTCTTCTTGAATGTCCTGTTGTCCCCGCACGGGTTGTAGGTGAGGTCGACGCCACCACATTGTAGCTCTCCTCCCTCAGCCGTGTCAGCCATCTCCACCAAATTAATAGTGTAGCTGTACATCTCAATTGTTTCTTTCCCTGCTTGTCCCCCTTTCTTTCTTTCCTTGGACGTTGATGAGGACGGTTCCTCCGTATCCCCCATGTCTTCATCAGATGAAACAGGGTCACTGCTGAGTAGCTCACGGAGCACCTTCATCGCCTTCTCATTTCCAGCAGCCTCTTCAATGTCCTTGCAGTCGCCGTCGTGGGCCAGGTTCGCGCACTTCTTACAGATCCCCATATCTCCCATGCACTTCTCCATTGACTCCAGGAATCCTAGTGCCGCTCTCCGCCCGTCGATCACTCGCTGCTTCTTGTCTTCCTTCTCAGTATTGGCTTGAGAACTTCGACTCGGGTCTGGTGCTTGACCAAGACCCTCATCTTCGCCCTCCGTGGCCTTTCTCTTGGACCCTTGTGCAGAGGGCTCGGTGATCAGGGATCGTGGATGTCTGGGCTTGACCTTGTTCATGATGTCAAGCACCTCCTTCGTGGGCACGCCGAGCTGTGTGGACGGTTTGTTCCGCTTTCTGTTCTGGCCCGTCGTGTGGGTCACGTTCCCAGCGAGGTGTCGCACTATTGACTGCTCGAACTCCCTCTTGATCTTCCATGCATCCTTCCACAGTGGCAGTTCGTGCTGGAAGTACGACATCACCTCAAAGAATCCCAACACCATCTCGACGACGTCGCCCAAGGATTCCTCGTTCGTGGTTTGTCCCAGGAGTTCATACATCGTTCCTTGGTCGAGCACACTCTTGATCCAGGACGAATATGCCACATTGCCAAGGTCTTTGCCTATCACGAAGATGGACATCCTCTCCTCGACTCCCTCGGAATTCTTGCACACGATCACATCCCGGGATGCGCACAATTGCTTCCCGTGACCGTTGTTGTAGAACTGTGCTGCTTGATCCAAAGTCATGCTCACGAATCCCACGTGAGAAAGCTCCTTCTTCAGCCTTGAATACGCGAGCTCCCGTATGATCGTGATCATGGCCTGGATATTGTTGACGTCCACCATGAGGTTTTGAAGGTCGGGGATCGCCACCACGCATTCCGCGAAGAGGCGCGTGTACATTTTTTTCCCCTCGATAGACATTGCAATACCGTTCGTGTCCGCGTTCCAGTTCGCGCAACAGTTCACGCAAGAAGAGGGATTGTACTTCGAATTCGGCCCGAGCACCTTCGACTTGCTCATCTGCATCTCTTTAGCGCAAAGCTCGCAGATAAACTTGCTGAGCTCCGTGACCGTATACCATCGAAGACGTTGATCACCGACATCGGCTTTCCCAAAAGCATCCTGCTCGCCGTGTCCTTCATCTTGCTGCTCTTGTTACCTCTTCGACTGTGCAGTGAAGGTCGGCTTGTACTCGAATTTCACCTTCGATTCCTCCATGTTCTTCGGGATGTTGAATCGAAGGTCGGGCTCGTTTATGCACGTCCCCTCCAGATCACACACAAACGCGTTGCTTGGTGCGACCGCATCGATGGATTTCTCAATCAGCAGTCGCTTCAGGAGGAAGTGTTGCAAGTTCGAGCTCCCAGGGATCTTGTAGTTCTTTCCTTTGAGCGCATGGACCACGCGCCACAGGCGATCGTTCTCGGTCACCAGCGCGCCTGCCGCCTTGCAGATCTCGCTAACCTTGTTGGCGATCGTCCCCAAGTACCCTCTTCCACCATGGAAAGCAACATCGCGATTCACGCACACCACGACCAGGCCCTTGCATGTGTTGACGAGGTCAGATATCGCTTTCTGCAGGGAGTCGATGATGGGGTTGGCGGTCACCTGCCATCCGCATCCTCTCATGCACACCCAATCATATAGCGACATCCAGATGTGCACCGACATTGGTGAGTCTTCCATGTCTCGCCTCCGCCGTTCAGCGATGAGCTTATCCAGCTTCTGCAATCGGGAGATGATATTCAACGTGTCGTTGGGTGAGGAGACTTGCTCACTCGACCCATAGTATGATCTCTCCTCGATGTTTGTCCATCCCTGTACGTTGACCATCATCTGGAAGGTCTTCGTGCTCCCTTTCGAGTTGACGGCCCTCAGGGGCCAATCCAGGACCAAGAAGCTCTTCTTGTGGATCATCATGTCGCGAATCGTCGCCTCGCCAATGGGGCT